GTTTAATAATAAGACAGGTGAACAAAATTATCGCTTAGTTATAGATTATAGGAAGTTAAATGAGAAAAGTATTAGTGATAAGTATCCTATACCTAACATTACGGAAATGTTAGATAAGCTAGGTAGAGCGAATTATTTTACAACCTTAGACTTAGCATCTGGTTATCATCAAATAGAAATTGATGCACAAGACATACCAAAGACGGCATTTACGGCTCTCGATGGCCACTACGAGTTCACTCGTATGCCGTTTGGACTTAAAAATGCTCCATCGACCTTTCAAAGGGTCATGGACAATGTCCTAAGAGGATTAAATAATGTCATTTGCATTGTTTACTTAGATGATATTTTAATATTTAGCACTTCATTACAAGAACATATTTCCAGAGTTAGAGATGTATTTGATAGGTTGAGAAAAGCAAATTTCAAAATTCAATTGGATAAATCTGAGTTTTTACAGAAAACAGTTGCTTATTTGGGTCACGTTATCACACCTGAGGGAGTGAAACCTAACCCCGATAAAATAAGGGCAGTTCAAAACTTTCCAATTCCACGGACACAAAAAGAAATAAAATCCTTTTTGGGTCTGTTAGGCTATTATCGTAGATTCATTAAAGATTTCGCCAATATTACAAAACCTATGACTATTTGTTTGAAAAAGAATGCGAAAGTAATTCACAATCAAAATTTTATTGAATGTTTTAACACTTGTAAGAAAATTTTATGTAATAGTCCGATTCTTCAGTATCCTGACTTTTCAAAATCTTTTATACTAACCACCGACGCATCAGACGTTGCCCTCGGTGCAGTATTATCTCAAGGTATCGTAGCTTAGAAATTTTAAAAAATATAGCCGAAAACCCCAATAATTACATTTCTGATAAAGATTTCGAAGAAGCTGGCCCTAGTTATAAACAAAAAAATAAATCAAAAATAAAAATAATCTCAGATATTCAAATACAACCTCCAAATAAATCTGATTCTGATGAGACTCCACATTCACTTTCGAAAGAAGTCGAAAATGATGGCATTCTCATATTAGACGAAATAATTAACAATAAAAATAATCAAATCTTAGTTTTTAAACACAATAATGAACAAATATTTGTTAAAACCGAAAATTATAATAAACAAAAAATTATAACCTTAAAATTACCATTAGAAAATAATCGGAAACAAATAATAGATTTTCTAAAAAATTATTTAGGTCCTAATAAAACCTATCATATATATTTTGATGATAGAAAATTTGTACCTCAATTTAATGAAATATATACAGAAATATTTAAAAAGGATATTTTAAAATTAGTCATGTGTACACGTTTAGTAAATACTATTAAAGATATCGAAGAACAAATAATGTTAATAAAAAATCATCATGAAGGGAAAACTAATCACCGAGGTATTGAGGAAACATTAAATTATTTAAAGCGAAATTATTATTGGACAAATATGCAAAAAACAATCACTTCATATATTAATTCTTGTGACATCTGTCAGCGAACTAAATATGCTCGAAAAAATCCCTATGTACCACTAAATTTAACTGAAACACCCTTAAAACCATTTGAAATATTACATATAGACATTTTTCACTATAATAAAAAGATTTACGTAACAATAATTGATCCTTTTTCAAAATTTGCTCAGTCTATCCTTATTCCCGGAAAAACAGCAATAAACATTTGTGACGGTTTAACAAAATATTTTGCAAGTTTCGGTATACCTAAAACAATTGTCCTAGACAGTGGTACAGAGTTTAAAAATGATACAGTTCGTGAACTTCTAAATTTACATAAAATAAAAACACATTTTACCACACCCGGTCACCATGAGTCGAATGGAATTATTGAACGATTCCATTCAACGTTGATCGAACATTTACGAATCCTAAAAGAGTTGTACCCTAATGACGATGATTTAATTAATTATGCCATTCTTGGATATAATAGCTCAATACACAGTGCGACTGGTTTCACACCTTTCGAACTTGTATTCGGACATACAAATTCCAGAAATCCTGAAGAAATTTTTATGCCTAAAGAGTTATTTTCAAGTTATGTCCAAAATCATAAAGATAAAATAGAACATGTATATAATAAAGTTAATGAATCTTTAGTTAAAGGTAAAGAAAAATTAATTAGTAAGCATAATGTAAATGGTAATGAAAATGTAGAATTTAAGGTTAATCAAGTAGTTTATAAGAAAAATCCATACTATAGAAATAAGAAAAATAATAAGTTTATTGGACCATTTACCATAACGAAGTTATTAGATAGAAATAAAGTTGAAATTGAAAATAATAAAAATAAAAAATATATTATTCATATAAAGGAGCTCAAGAAACCGTTTTCTTCTATAGAAAGACAAAACGACGCCGATACTAATGACAATGACCCTTCTAATACTGTTGAATCTGATGACGAAAACTAAAAGTCAAGAGATAACAATTACTGGTATCAGTATTCTTCCATGTAAACTTAGTTTCACACACATTATTACTAACATATCTTTTACATGACATAGACATACAATCCCTTACCTCTCAAATTACCGAGACAGAAGACTCACACGAAACATTTAACAATTCCAGGAATTGTAAAAAATCTATTCACTTATTATCTCCGAGAAACAAATATGATTATTTAGGACTATTATTAATGAATTACCTAATAAATTCTAGTTATTGATTATGTAAATATTCAAACACTTTAAATTCAATAATTAATAATCAAAAGAACATTTCACAAAACATTAGAAACTACCAATCCTATATTGATGGCTTGGCAGATGAATTTTATAAATTCTCTATATATTCTAATATTCTTGATCAAATCTTTATAAATGCTATTAGAATTACGAATTTTCTAGAAAACTTAGAAAATGCCGTAACTTTCGCTAAATTACATACTATTCACCCGGATATATTAACGCCACGAGAACTAAAAAATGCATTAAGTAAATTACGAAAAAATTACAAAACTGACGAAATTTTAATTTTAAATATAGATTTAAATTCTTGGTATTCCATAATATTCACAAATTGTTATTTCACAAATGATAAAATAATTTTTGCCATAGAAATCCCTATAGTTTTTCCAAAATTATTCCAATATTTTCACCTCTACCCAATTCCTACCAAAAACGATACCATTATCATACCCGAAAAACCTTATTTGGCTCTAACCGACGAGAAACACCAATATATGGAAGATATCTGCATCCCTTTGGAGGAAAACTACATTTGTCAACAAGAAAAGTTAGAAACTAAAATCGACCTTTGCATTGCCGCCCTCATCAAAGATGAAGAAGCCACCTATTCAACACTTGTTCCAAATATTCATTAAAGTCAATAATGAATAATCAGTCAATTATCCATAGATGACATTGATGAACCAAAATCAGAAACTTGGCTCCAATGGTCTTTTATCAGCACCCTGGCGATCCTAACCATTGTACATAAAGAAATTATTCAAAAAAAGAAACGGAACCCAAAATTATTCAGCCTTCGACTTCTGAAGAACCCGAAGCCTTCATCTAACAGGGGAGGAGTTATATGAACTCTAAGTGCAAGCTTGCAAGCCGGTCTTCGACCTGCTTCGTCAGCACAAGCTAACTTATAAATATATGTAAAATTGTAAAATTGTCATTCCTTATTTTTTATCAGAGTAAAACGTTTGTTAAGTAAAATAAAAATTTTTTAAAAAGTTAATTTTTCATTCCTTAAATTTATCTCGCATTATTTTAATTATCAAGCTGGAGGCAATGGAAAATTGTCAGAAATGCAGCATGTGCTAATATTCTTGTGGTATGCAGGACATCAGACTGCTTCTTTTCGTGATTACACTAAGTACTTTGTATACAATAATTAGGAAGCTTACATATTTCCTAAGTAATCTTTCAGCTGAAGTAATTACTTGGCCAACAAATGAGGAGAAGCTGGAAACTGAATTGTACTTTAACAATAATAATTTTCCTGGTGTTATTGGATGCATTGATGGCACCCATATAAAAATTGACAAACCAGAGCAAGACCCAGACTCCTACTTAAATAGAAAACACTTTTTTTCTATACAAGTAAGTATCTGAATAAAATAATTTACCAGACTAACTGCTAAAACCAGACATTGATACTAAGTATTTTATTCACAGATCAAAATAATAGTTACCTACTTACACAGCAACTGCAATGAAATTTCTGATGTGAAAATTACCAACAGTTTTATTTTAGTTGCAGGTTGTATGTGATCAAAAAAGAAAAATAAGAGACATTTTTGTGGGCTACCCAGGATCTGTTCACGATAGTCGGGTTTTCAGATCTTCACCACTAGCTGCAAGTCTTGAAGAAAAATGTGGTAATTTATATATATTGGGTGATAGTGGTTATCCTTGCTTAGCCAATTTATTAACACCATTTAAAGATAGGGGTGAATTAACAAGAAGACAGAGAAATTATAATGCCAAATTATGTTCCAATAGGTACATTGTAGAGCACTGTTTTGGTTTATTGAAACAGAGATTTCGACAATTATTTCATATCAAATTAAGAAAAATACCAGATATTGTGCATTTTATCAGAGCATGTTGCGTATTGCACAATTTAGCACTTGAAGATGATAATCAGTTGAACCTGTTAGATGAAATTGATGCAAATGAACAAATAGAGGTGATATATGTGCATGAAGATGAGGAACTTGAAGGTGATCAAAATGGCATGATAAGAAGAAATCAAGTTGTAAATAGCTTACCATTTTAAATGCAACTATTGTTATGTTTCTTTAATTTTTGTATTTCGAAAATAAACATTTTAAAAAGTAATAATTTTATTGTACACTGAACTAACAACTAATAAAACAAAATAAAAAATAAATATATTCTTGATGACAAACAGTAGAAAAACATATAATACTTATGAAATATTAGGAACTTTCGTAAACAAACTAAGACTAATAATAAAAATACAAAAGTCACAAAATAAAAAATATATATATAATTCAACATTATAAAATGTCTTCATCAGTTTCAAAATTGACCTTAATGTTTTTTTCTAAAAATACTTTCATAATATCATTTCTATCTTTATAGGCACTTGTTTCTTTTTCTTTGGCTTCAAGTTTTTTAATTTCAATGTCCAATTTCTTTTGCAATTTTTCTTTTTTAAATGCCAATTTTTCTTTTTCTAGGTCTAATATTTTCCCGTAATATTCCTTTTTATCCATCCTCATTACTTCCAATACTGATTTTTTTTCTTGAATTATAGTTCTTCTTCTTTTTGGATGTTTTGGAGATGTTATTGGTTCAATTTTATGTTTGGCATTTTCGGCAGCAGGTGTTTCGCTGTTTTCAGTTGGTGGAAGATTGTTCTCCTTATCTTGGTGTGAAATGGTATTCGAAGATAGCAGAAGTTCTGGACGTATGTTGCTTTTTTTTCCAAAGATTTCATCCATTTCTTTGAAGTACTCGAAGACTTTTCTACCTCCACCAGTTTGTTTTGTGGAGTCTATGTACTTCTTATAGTTTCTTTCAATTACCCTCCATTTGTTCTCACAATGAGAGGGCAAAAAATTACTTTTAAAAATACCGTTCATATCACTGCAAATTGCCTCCCACATTTTTTTTAAAGTGCGTAACTCTAGAGTTCCAACTTTCTTCCGGTAAAGTTTGTATAAGTCTATTAATTTTAATGTTTGGTTATGTGTCCAAATAGCAATAGTTGGTGTATTTACACTTTTTGATGAAGAGGGTAGAGACTCTGAGAACTGAATTATTCCATTTTGCACTAACTCATCCTCAGCCAGTGTTCTTGAATTAGTTGAATTTAATATTATAAATTCATTCATTTCTAAAAATATATTTACATACAAAAACTTATAATGAAATTTAATAAACATGATTTACCTTCCATATTTTTATTTCAGATGTCTTTTTTTTGTTATTAATTAAATGAAATCAGAGACAACGTTAATACTTTAGGAAGGATAGTTATGGTTTTATAGGTTAGGTGTTAGGTTATCGAGAAAAAGAAAAAACAAGATTTTTGTTAGGTTAGATTAAATTTGGGTTGTTCATCAAAATTTTCCGTTCGTGCAGTGAAGAATTTCTAACGGTTTGATGACTGTCTTCAACCGCTCATGCGCATTGTAAACAAATCTCAAACTGGTTTCAAACTCACTGCAGAAACAAACCTAATAGAAATAGATAACATACACGATTAAATAGAAAGAGTTTGGACAAAACAGCCATGCCACTATAAACTGTGTGATAATACTATTTATTCTTTATCTATGGATAATACCGACACTAAGTCTGGCTGTGTCGCAGTCGGCCAGATACATGTTGCAAGAGATGGTGCGTTTTGGAGTTGATGCTTTGAACGCGAGAAGATGGTTGGAATGGAAAGTTTCTTCGTCGAGTTTAATTTGGAACGAGGGTTTGTTTGAATAATTTAACAATTAATAAATAAATACGAGGGTTGGAACACAGAATAATGAGTCTTTGGCAATGGTAGAAAAGTGAAACATCTATTTGATAACTATCCTTCTATTGTGTGCAAAACGCTTTCTTTTAATTATACAGGGTGTTTCATTGGGAAAGGGAAACATTTTAACCCTATATAGAAGTCACCCAAAGCATTGTATATAGAACTATAATAAGATAATTCAATGAAAAAGTTATTGGAGGCAATCGCGCCTGACAAGTATTGGTAGAATAATGCAACTAACGATTTTAACTAATTAACGTCAGATGTTAGAACTTTATAAAGTCAAATTAATTGTCAATATACAAGGTGTCTCAATAGTGTGTGGAAGTTCGATATATCCTATAATATAGAAAATATCAAACAAAGTTATTTACAAAAGTTGTAGATTATATTAATTGCACATTTCAAAATTATTTTTGATTATACAGAATGATTCATAACTTCATAATTGATCAAACCTCTTTTTTTAAATGGACCACCCTGTATTTAATTGTAAATTTGAATTCCACTAACTTTGCCCTTCAAGAAAGTACCAACATGTATAAGGTTATACTGGGTATTTTGGAAGTTTAAACCAATTTTATATGAAAATCGTACTAGGTTCAACCTTCTGTATATTTCAAAAGAAACAATCGAACATCAAAATTTTTTGATGAATCATTTTTAATTATAGTTTAATTTGATAAGAATATACCTATTTTTTCCTAGCGCACCAGACGAGTACAAGGTGAGTCAAAACTCAGATACATGATTTTCTCAATTTTTTAAGTGTAACACCCTGTATTTCATATCACTACTAAAAAGAACTCTAATTAAACGTTCGTTTGAGTTAAATATTACCTATTCCTAAACACAACAGTTTAGCGAGATTTTTAGATGAAATGTTAAAAAGAGTTAATTATAACTAAATTCACAATGTAATTTGATTTAAACTCCTAAAAATATACTGTTTAATCACTTTATATTTTTAAGCTACCTAGCTACAATTTATTATCAACTGAATTTACTTTCTTTACTTTTAAGGTTAGGTTCACCCTGTATTTCATATCTCTACTAAAAGTACTTTAATTATACGTTCGTTTTTCCCTATCCCTAAACACAACAGTTTAGAAGTTATTTTATATTTGAATGAAAAAAATATGAGCCAAAAATAAGTTATTTTAATTTTTTTAGAATGCAACAATACAGTTCATCAAATTTCTAGAGGCTTTCGACGGCTAGACAGAGAAAGCACTACTGAGAGGCATCGGTTGGCGGGGCCGACGGATTTACGCAATGAAAGTACATTCTTCGCATCAAGTATTTCACTATTTTATTCAGACGTAAATGTCAGATGTAAATTTCGCTAAAACATTTCTTTTATTTTCGTTTGTGTTTTTTGCTCATTACAGTTTAATAGAACCTAAGTATGGAGTTTAATAGCAAATTAAGAGGCCGCGTGATTAACAGTCAATCTCGCGAAATAATAGCCAATGTTATAGAGTTTATGAGAAGAGAAGGAAACTTTAATTCACCTTCAATACCATTTAAAAATGTAAATGATCGTGTTGCTGCAGCCACAGGAGTATCTAAAAACACTGTCGTCCGCATTTCTGGAGGGAAAAAAAGAATCGATAACCGTGAGATATCGGAATTTTCGTCACCAAGAAAAACCATTAAAAAACCAAAAACAGTTAATGATATAGATGAAGCTGACAAAGGTATTTTAAAAAGAATTATTCTGTTCATGTTAATCTCGGAAAATATTGCTCCAACATTAAAAACAATTCTGACTAAATTTAGAGAAGCTACAGGGTACAAAGGAAGCTATGAAAGTTTAAGAAAAATAATAAAGTCGCTAGGATTTCGTTGGCGGAAAACAAAAACAAACAGAAAAATATTAATGGAAAGGTTTGATATTCAAAAGCTACGTTTAGACTATCTGATTCGTTTAAAAAGTTATCGAGCGCCGTCCAATTGTCTACTTAGATGAAACATACATTCATGCCTCCCACACACACCAGAAAGCTTGGAGTGATAATTCAAATGAGGGATTAAAGAAACCAATTAATAAAGGTGATAGACTAATTATTGTCCATGCAGGAGGTGAAATGGGCTTTATTCCGAATGCCCGGTTAATTTTCAAATCTGGAAACAAAAGTGGAGACTACCACGATGAAATGAATTTTAAAATTTTTCTAAATGGTTGAAAGAGAAGCTGTTTCCGAACCTCCCTCCAAGAAGCATCATTATTGTTGATAATGCTCCTTACCATAATGTCCAGGTAAATAAAGCACCACCGTCAACTTCTAAAAAAGCTGACATGCAGGATTGGTTAAGGAATCATAATATTGCTTACGAAGAGGATATGCTCAAAATGCAATTATACAGTTTAGTGCTATTGCATAAGTCACGATTTAAGAGGTATGCAATTGAAGAAATGATAAATGAACATGGTTTTAGTTGTTTGCGTTTGCCACCGTATCATCCCGATCTTAATCCGATCGAATTAGTGTGGGCATCATTGAAACAATATGTAGCTAGTAACAACACTACATTTAAGAGGCAAGACGTACAACTGTTGTGTGAAGACTTTTTTAAAACGTTTTCTAAAGAAGAGTGGCAATCTCGTTGTAATAATGCTAAAATGTGGGAATCTAAATTTTATGACAGAGAAGTTACTTTGTATGAGGCAACTGATAGATTTATAATTAACTTAAACAGTGACAGTGAGACTGATTTTGAATCTGATATGGAAACTGAAGAAAGTTTTTCGGAAGACCATTAAAATTATATCTGTACCTAAGATCAAAAAAGTATTATCTATTTTTACAACGAAGATGCACAAGAATCAAATTTTATTTTTTTATTATTAGATAGCTATTTTTGTTTCTGAGTTGTGTTCATTTACAGGCTCAATTTTTTTCCGTTTCTCCTTTTTGATTTTATATGGGGTTTCAAGTTGTTTTTGACTTATTTCGACGTAAATCACACCAACACACTTTTTTAATAAAGCAAACAAGTGTTAAGAGGTATATGTACGTGTAAACTACAATTACAAAAAATTGATATGAAACCCATGAAACCACCAACAAAAATGTAAAGCTAGCTTCCGTACTAGAACATGGTGTCATTCGTCGAGATAATTTATCGTTTTTAATATTTATCGTTATTAATAATAGGTACCATTTTCCTTAATAAGGTAGAAATAAAATATAATCTATTTCTCAATTTCAAAAGGTTGAAGGAATTCCAAAACACCTTTTATGGCATAATAATTATTTTCAATTCTACATACTATCTTTAGCTGCTTTTAAAAACGTTCTAAGAAAGTCCAATCAGACCAATTTAATCCCTAAACTATTCCACACTTTTAAAATTTAATTACCTAAAAATATTAAAAACTATTTAAAATAACTTGTTTAGCAGACTGTACAATAGCTATCTTAGTCACACGTAGCGCGTTCTCTGTCTGGGCGTCGAACACCTCTAGAAATTTGATGAACTGTAGTATATTAAAAAATAAAAAAAAGCTATTATAAAAGCTGCTCAAAGTGACTCCCTCCAACTGCAATACAATATTGTAATCTAGCATTAAATGATCTTTGAACGTTTTTCAAACATTGTACATCTATATGCTCGCTAACACTTGCCTTATTCTTTCCTTCATTTCCTCGCTAGTTAATGGACTAGTTTTAGAAACCTCGTTTTTTACGAATTCACACAAAAAAAATCTACTTTAGTGTGGTCAAGGGACCTGGGAGGCCACATAACTGGATGATCTCTTCCAATCCACCTGTTTTCAAAATTATGGTTCAGAAAGTTGCGAACTGGTTGAGCATGATGTACAGGAGCTCCATCATGTAATATCCACATTCGGCGTCTTATATTTAGTAGAACATTTTCCAGTAGTAGTGGTAGATGATTCTGCAAAAAGTTTAAGTAGACCTCGGCTGTTACACGAACATGAAAGAAATGTAGTCCTATGACATAGTCCCCTAATATACCACCCTAAACGTTAATAGACCATCGTGTTTGGCTACGTGTTATTAACTAATAAGGATTGGTGGTGGAATAGTAATGAAAATTGTGTTTATTGATGAAACCGTTTTTGTGAAATGTTAATTCATCCCCAAAAAGTACACAATCAAAAAAATCATTTTCATTATTAATGCTCCCAATTGCCCATTCACAAAAAGCTATTCTTTTTTGAAAATCGTTTTCAAGAAGCTCCTGATGACGTTGGATATGGTATGAATGTACTTTATTTTTTAATAGTATCCTATTGACAGATGATTTACTTATTCTCGTTTCACTTTCCATGATACGTGTACTGGTGTTTGATATGCTACATTACCTGTACGTTTGAATCTTCTTGAATTTTCAAAAATTTCTTTACGAGGTTGTCGGCGATCAGGATATTTTTGCTTATAAATTTTATTTGCCAACAAGTAATTTTATCACTAGCCGCTAGCACTAAAATCATATCAATCAATTCATTCGTTGTAAAATTCATTTTTATATTAGACAAATCAATAAATTT